ACTTGGATAATCATCTTCCATCAGTTTATCATGGTAACTTACCTATGTTTTCCCCCACAATAGTTTCCATTCCAGCTACTGCAGATCCATAGCTCGGCATCAGTTCAAATCAAAGGTCACAGATAAGCGGACAAGGGTCCGGATCCGGACCCACCTGCTGGCTAAGCCGGACCCAACCTGATTTAAAAAATGTATAAATTACCGCATGCTGTGCAACGACAGTGTCTAGATTCACGTATGTCGCTTGTCCTTTTAACATGGTAAAGCCCTCTGGAGCGTCCGGGACCAGGCTACACGTGATAAAAATTAGCCAATGAGCTGTGTCAGTCTGGGTTGCTGCTGCTAGCTACTGTTAGACACAGCAGTCAAACCCATGGCAAGCCAGGAGATGGGAAAGAAGGAGAAGACCAAGAGAAAAAAAAGCAGAGAAAGTGTGGACTGCTGGAAGAACAGCGGTAAACTGGTGAAAGAAAAGTGAAACGGCATGCTCAAGGTTGACCCTGCACATTTGCAGTCTATTGGCTCAACCTACTGCTGTGAAGCAGGATTCCCCACAATGAACATGATCAAAAATGAATATATGGATCCAGACTCACGAATGAGCACCTTGATATGTGCTTGAGAATGGCTTTGTCGCCATTCAAACCCATTTTTAAAAGCTTCGCAGGGCAGCGACTTCTCTCTTTAAGCAATAAAAAAGTAAGAAGAAAAAAAATCAGTACATCAGTTCATATGTTTTATAAAATCTCTGAATCTGAAACTCAACAATTGTAGTTCACTACTTCAAAAAAAACTTGAATGGAAAAATTTTCTATGTGGCTCCATGGAAAATTGTAAGTCCATGTGTAACATGGATGCATAAACACCTCATTTTATTGCAGTGTTAAATTCTGTTTAAAGTTACAGATTATAATTAAAAATCTCTCCTTACCTTTACTGGTTGTTGATTTTCTTTATTCGGACCCTGCTGGTTTTTAAATGGTTACCCCTGGTTTAAATAAACGCCTTTTAAGTAATCACTTAAAAGAATTATATTATAGAGAATTATAGATTTTTTCACAAAAATTTCTTTTATGATTTTTACGTGAACAAAATGCCTTCAACTTTGGGTCCTGAGCTGTAACTGCTGTGCAGCTATTTACAAGCAAAAAAAAAAAGAGAAGAAGTTATCTTATAAACCAAAACTAAGTCCCAGAAATTTAGTTTTAAAACAGACCACTTATTGCCTTACATCTTCACTTATCTGCGTTTAGGACCCGATATTTAGGATGGGTTAGCCCTAGGTAAGATACCTGATGTGATTTGCAACAATCACATCAAGCAAAAAACGTTGTTAAAGGGCCCTGGGCAGATAGCTTTAGCATACAAAATTTGCCCCTTTGGAGTATACTTTGGTCATAAAACAGTTTTCTTGTTGTATTATTAGAGAAATATCTTACCAACATGCAGAACACTAATCAGGAGGCTTGAAAGATTTTAAGAGCCTATTGCAAAGTGTCTGTAAATAAACAGAAATCCAGGATCAAATTCTGCATGGGAATAATCTGGGAAAATATGTTTAGTTGGAATGAGTATTTTATATTTTGTTATAATTTCTCTCCATGAACTTTGCTTAAAGGTACAGTATGTGTTGAGAGGTTTGTCTGGGAAGGAAAAAAAATCAGAATCCAGGAGCTTAGTTTCACTTGTATTTTCGAAGCCACCTTACCACAAGCATGTCTGAAAATCTGGGGGAAAGAACCAAAGGAGTATTTAAAGATTTGTTTCTTAAGCCACTGTATACTTAACAAAAAGTGTGAAACAACTGAAAAAATGTCTTATATTCTAGGTTCTACAAAGTAGCCACCTTTTGCTTTGATCACTGCTTCGCACTCTCTTGCCATTCTCATGATGAGCTTTAAGAGGTAGTTACCTGAAATGGTCTTCTAACAGTCTTGAAGGAGTTCTCGGAGATGCTTAGCACTTGTTGGCCCTTTTGCCTTCACTTTGCAGTCCAGCTCACCCCAACCATCTCAATTGGGTTTAGGTCCAGTGATTGTGGAAGCCAGGTCATCTGGCACAGCACCCTGTCAGACTCTTTCTTGGTCAAATAGCCCTTACACAGCCTGGAGATGTGTTTGGGGTCATTGTCCTGTTGAAAAATAAACGATGGTCCAACTAAAGGATGGAAAACGGATGGAAAAGCATGCTGCTGCAAGATGCTGTGGCAGCCATGCTGGTTCAGTATGCCTTCAATTTTGAATACATCCCCAACAGTGTCATCAGCCAAGCACCCCCACACCATCACTCCTCCTCCTCCATGGTTCAGGGTTGGAACCAGGCATGTAGAGTCCATCCTTTCACCTTTTCTGCTTCGCACATAGACTTCCACTGGTCTAATGTCCATTCCTTGTGTTCTTTAGCCAAAGCAAATCTCTTCTGCTTGTTGCCTGTCCTTAGCTGTACTTGCTAGTGCAGCTTGAACTCTGTGTGGCATTGGCCTGGTCTTTAATCTGAGCTGCTGTTAACCTACGATTTCTGTGGCTTGTGACTCGGATGAACTTATCTTCCGCAGCAGAGGTGACTCTTGGTCTTCCTTTCCTGGAGCAGTCCTCATGTGAGCCAGTTTCTCTATATCGCTTGATGGTTTTTGCAACTGCACTTGGGGACACTTTTAAAGTTTTGCCATTTTTTCAGACTGACTGACCTTCATTTCTTAAAGTGATGATGGCCACTTTTTTTTTTTTTTACCGAGCTGCATTTTTTCTTGCCACAATACAAATTCTAAAACAGTCTATTCAGCAGGAATATGAGCTGTGCATCCACCTGACATCACAATACAACTGATGGTCTCAACCCCATTTAGGGCCAAGGCAAGAAATCCCACTTATTAAACCTAACAGGGGACCCTGTGAATTAAAAACCATTTCAGGTTACTACCTCTGGAAGATCACCATGAGAATGCCAAGCAGTAATCAAAGCAAAAGGTGGCTACTTTGGAGAACAAAAAATGTGAGATATATTTTCTGTTGTTTCACACTTTTTTGTTAAGTATATAATTCCACATTTGTTAATTCCTAGTTTTGATGCCTTCAGTGTGAATCTAAAATTTTCATAGACATGAAAATAAAGAAAACTCTTTGAATGAGAAGGTGTGTCCAAAGTTTTGGTCTGTACTGTATAGAAAGTGTTGTCTCTCATTTGACAATGACAATCATTGCCAGACTAGCATGAAAACCTGTCAGATAGAATATGACATCTGGTTTAATAACTGTTTTCTATGGGCTCTCTGGCCTCCTTTGTTGGTGATGTCCTTATTAACCTTAATAATTCAGACTGGATTAAAGATGGCACCTTACCTAAATCAGACTTGTGGCTTTCTTTTAACAAGACCAGTGCTCATATTTTTTTTTAATGACAATGTCTATATTTTTAAATAACTCATTTTAATTACTCTTTGTCGCTTGTTGTGTAAAGCTTTCAGGGGCCAACACAAATGCAGCAGTGAACCAGCACTAAACAGTGTGAGTTGATATTAAATACAGAAAAAAGGTGGAAAGAATAGGGCATAGCCAAATGAGTCATCAGTACTTGGAGTGGGGGTGTTCCAAGAGGCCTAGCAGCCTTTCATAGTGTGATGGGAAAAGATGTGTGAAATTGTTAGGAACGTGAAAATAAACGGACAGCGTTTTCCAGGCTGTGGGGATAGGAGTGTTTTCAGTGTAATCTGATGCATTTGCTTGTGTGTAAGTACGAACTGTTAGTAGTCAGGCCAACTCTGAGCCGGCTTTGAGTCAGAGGATTTCAGCACGCTGAGTGTTCAGAGAGTAGTGATCATGGCGATAACAGGTGCTGGGAGTGGGAAACATGATCAGTTCAAAACATAGATGTATGCTGTAATTTATTAGAATGAGTTTTATGACAGTCAGGCCTTAAACATCCAGCCACAGTTTGTTCCTCATGGTTATTCTCTATACCAATACTTCAACTGAGAATAACATGGATCTTCAACTTATTTTGAAATATAACAATCAAAAAGTTCTTTAACGTGAAATATGGTCACACATTTGATTGACTAAGTTATGCTTATAATAAGATAAAACATTATGTAAAATAAGCAATCAGACTGAGAAACCATTTAACCTGTTCTTAATTTTTATGAAAAAATATTGGATTTTGAAATCAGTAAAAATTAACAGCATATTTTTTTAAGATGTATTAACTTGTCTGCCTTAGTTGCCTCTTTCTAGACACTAAGCAGCAGCAATATCTGTTATATTTGAGATATGTTTGCCTTTTAGCCTTTTTAGTTAATACTTTTTCGTATGAAAGTAAACGCTAAATGATAGATCTTTATGCCACAATCCACTTTCTGGGTGGTCATTAAAATAACATATCAAGCTGTATACATGTGCTTGTCTTCTTCTCATGTTGTACATAGCAGACCTACTGAGGGAAAGAAAATGTTTGTTGTGCATCAATGTGCCTTACAATAATTCTGTTTTTTATAGCTCAAGACAAGCACATCTCCGGTTAGTGAAGGTGGTACACATGCTAAACAGGGTCCGAGTGCCCTCCAATTTACATACATTTACACTTTGGACACTAGGGCACTATTTTTTATTATCTTTGCAGGTGCTTGTTAAATGCTAACATTACCTTCCCTGTTAAGTATTAAGGCTAATGTTTTCCAGCGGTTCATTAAATTAAGACAGATAGCTCTTCCAATTTGGATTCTCCTTGATCAAGAACACTGCATTATCTGGATACGGTTGGAGCCAATGATTTCTCCTCATTTATCAACAGCATCTGTATGATGTAATGATATGGTAGGGTGTGACTCGAGATGTTAAAAAAAAACTCTTTAAAATGTAAATGTAAAATGTAACTCTCTTGTTCTGATGATGAAAGCAGTACCATTGTAATATGAGTTATTATGATCCCATAAACCTGCTGTAATATTTTGTAGTCATTTAATATATCTACATTAAAAAGTGTCATTAAAAGGTTTTTTTTCCCAGGTGATCTGTTCTCTGGAAAGAATCCCAGAACAACTTCTTTACCCTTACCAACAAAGACATGATGAATTTTTCCACAACAAAGGTTGGGCTGCTCACACCCTTATATCCTTCTGCTTTGTCACTGATCATGATTTCTATAATTTCTATATTTTATTTACATACTTTACATATGATAAGGTTACTAAACTGTTGCTAACCAACTGCTCGGTTTGAATGGCCATCTGCTGAGGCAGAAATAGGGTTTAAAAAGAAAGAAAGAGAGCACATATAATTAGTCAGAGTAAATGTTAAGCCTATAACAATTTCTTGAATAGAAACAAGACTTATTAAAAAGGGCCAATCTCTATAATCTATAAACAAATTCAATTGATTTCTATTCAAAAATACTTCATCAACCCAAAGGGAAATTAAATTTTGAAGGGAACTCTTCAGCAGTTCAAGGAGTTGTTGTAGGGGTTGATAGCTGTAGTCAGGAAGGATCTTCCTATTGTTGGCAGTAGGCCAGTTATTAATTTTCTCCATGATGGAGTCACAGCCAAACAGAAACAGACTAGATAAGGCTACTATGATGAAACAAAGCAGAGGGAACTTAAAATTAGGGATTGAACTAACAAATACAGAAAGGGAGAATAGTTAAATTTTATTATGTAGAGTGGTCCCTGTGTCCAGTGTAACTACAGTATAGAGATAGCTGAAGATGACCTCAAGAGAGGATCCTGATAAGTAAAATCTACCTCTCCTTCTACTTTTAGAAATTCTAAGAAGGTCTGCATACCTTTATATTGAGAACAAAGTGCTCTCTTAGGGACATGTTTGCTGTTGGCTTTGTGATAAGGTGTATCGAGTCATCCCTTGTTTTGGTTGTTGTAGATCTATGTTCTGTTGTGCTGCTCAGGCTCTCTCCATGAGAGCTAGATTCTCTTTCCTGGGATATTTCTTAATTACTCCAGCTGTTCAGAAGCACTTTTAAACACGTGATCTACACTTGCACTTGTTTACTGAGCATATTTCGCTCTCAAACTGCTTTTATTTGTGGTGGTAACGAGAAAAACTAAAGAGAACTCAAAGTATCATAAGCACAAACATGAACGCTAGACAAAGACTTCGCTAATTATATAAAAATATATAACAAACAAAGAATCTTGCATAGAAAGAAATGGACAGCACCAGGTCCAGACATGATCCAAGCCTACTGGGCCTATATATATATATATCCACCCTTCTCCCTCTCTCTCAAAACATTTATCTAGTAGCTTTTACCAAAATCTTCAGAAAGTTTGGTCAAAGATGCGAGTCATTTAGATAACATTTAATGAAGACACTTTTTGTGTTTTTACATTTTTTTTATTTGGTTAGTAAGTTAAATTACATCATATCTACTTTATTCTACCTAAAAGTTTATTTTCCAAGTTCTTTTCTCATCTAGGTGTATGCCATATATTTCCATTATTTGCTACTCTGCACTATGCTGTTCCTGAATATCTCCATTAGTGTTGACTTCTGGGTTTTTTGTTTTCCAGGGTGCCAACATGTCACAGAAGAGGTGAAGGCCCCTCTCCTCCTCTCATTATCCTGTGCAGATGTTCAGTCTGAGGCCACTGGAGTATCAGGTTACCACAAATCTAACCGATATCAAAACTTAGTTTGGGGAAGCCTAAGCCCCATTGCAATCTTAGGTTACAGCCTTTTATTAGTCCGGCTGACTTTTGGTAGCCGCTTTTAGCAGGAAACTTCCCTGCCTTCTTTTCAAAAGAGGTCCAAATGATCTACAAAATTAAAGTGTGCTTTGTTGTACCAATTATTTTTAGTTTTCTTATCAGTTTGACACTAAAGTAAAATGAATCAGGCTCAGTAATCCTGTATGTCTGAGTGATAAAAACCATTCCAGCAGAGGAGGAAAACAATAGCTGTGATAAGCAAACAGTGAGTTTGAAATGGGAAAATGATCCATGGTAGGGTATTACAATGCAGCTGAGAGGAATTGGAAGCTTAAGGAAAGGATGTGATGGTAATGAATTTAAACCAGCATAATCCCTCCCATCTGGGTCTAGAAATTGTTTGATATTTATGGTTGTAGACCTACACCACTAGGTATGACATTTTCTTACTTGGAAATATAAAAGAGAAAACTTTCACAGGGCTGTAATTTGTTTTGTTCTCATTTTGTTTTTAGTTTTAACCCTAGATCCCTTTCATAGCTCTCAGTGAGCTTATGTGTAAATTAGGTTAATACCAAGACTGAAGTGTTGCACATAGTTTGCATGTCTGAAGTGGGATTAAAGTGTTTGCAGATCCAATTCCATATATATATTCATTCTCTTGTTGGAGGTGGGGTTAGGTTTAGAACTAAGGTGTGAATTCAGTTTAGGTTAAGGTTAGGGTTAGTTATATGTACGGTATGTAATAGTTGGGGTAAGGGTCTGGGTTAGGCCATATAAAATGAATGCAATTACATAAAATCTCACCATATGTAATGAAAACAAAGCAGAGAGAGTGTGTGTGTGTGTGTGTGTGTGTGTGTGGGGGGGGGGGGGGTGTATATAGCTATTTCTTTCATTATGTCATGATCTGGCCTGTTTGCTCTCCCTTAATTAGTTATTTCTTTCACCTGTCGTTTTTCCCTCCCTGCCTCAATTAGAATTTCTTCCTCTCACCTGTTTCCTCTGGTTTATATTCAGTTCAGCCTGAGCATTAAGTGCCAGATCATTACTTGTCTCTCTGTTAGCCTGTCTGTTAGTTTTATTTCCTTGGTTCATGTCCTGGATCCTAGCAGCCAGTGGAAAGAGGGTTTTAGTGTTTGTCTTGTCTCCTGATTGTCCACCGTTCCTCCCCCGCGGAGTCCTCTGGGTTTTTGGCTCTATATGTGGGGAGGTTCAGTTTTTTTATCCAGTAAGCCTGGCTCCAGGGAGGAGACCAGTTTAAAGTCCTGCTTCAAGTTCCAGTTCCACGTCCTGTCTCGGCTACCCTCTTCCACTGTGCCTGCCTGTCTGCACCTGATCCTGTCTGCTCCTGTGCGTGACCAACTGGTCATGCTTCTGGTCCCAGTCAGACTCTGAACCCTACTGGGAGCCTGTGGATGCCTGGAAGTCTGGATCCTGCCACCTGTTTCTGTTCCTGCCTGATCTGGATCCTGCCTGTTCTGTCTGTTCTGGATCCCTGACCAGGATCGGCTTCCAGCATGACCTCTGGGACTGCAGCACGGGGGACATTGTTGGTCTGGACTGTTAAACCAGGTAAGTGACCAATGGAGATAATCTTCTATCAGATGATCGTGGTCACTTACCTGTGTTTCTCCCCTAGAGTGTCTGAGATTGGGCGGTGCCCCCCCCCACCGCCTGCAGTGTCCGCGAGCCACAGCTCCGCTTTTGTTTTGTTTTATCTAGTAAATGTTTGAACTTTCCTACTGACTGACACATTATTGACAGGGTGAAAATCATTCAGTCAACTCATCATTGCTAATTTTAGTCCAACGGCAACAACATCATTACCAAACTTGAATAATAATCAGTCATGCCTAATATGGTAAGCAAAAATGTTACATGTTTAATTTTTAGCTGCAAGTCATTTCAACAGGATAATAATAAGTTCATATTTGCTTCTATGGAAAAAGAGATTCATAATTTCTGATCATTTTCAAGTCCCATAATATTCCTTTACAAAAAGGGAACTGCCTTTCTTTCTTTTTTAATCTCCATGTATTAGTCTTTTTTGTGGAGAGTAGTGTCTAATAAATTTCTCATTTGGTATTTGAAAGACAGAGTCTGTTTTCGTGCTTGTTCTATTTGAAATTTGATCCGGTACAAAACTATTTATGCTCAAAATAATATTTGTTTTTGAATTTAAGGTACATGTGGGACTAAAAGGGTTTGGCAAGAAGCATAGGGAAAATATCTTCTGGTTGATTGCTCAATCTGAAAATTACGCCATTAGAAGCTGTGAAAGTGGTATTAATAAGCTGTAATGGATGCGTTTTAACTACAGAGTTTTTAGTTATGCAGAGCAGTGTGTTTTTGTGAATTGTGAGGCAGGTTCCTGCCAGCCAGTTACTGCTGCTCCTCCTAATAGAAAACACATGGTGAACTGATAACAGGCCAAATGAAGACATGTCCACACATTGGCAACCCCAAAACAAACAAGAACACACATCTTCTTTGTGACATACTCTTTTCCTTTCTCATCTTGCTTGCTGTTTAAGTGCATGTCTGTTGTTTATGTACCTAGTTTGCTTCTTTTTCATTCAAATTCTCTTCTCCAGCATACAACAGGGTTAAGCCAATTTTTAGGATGGAACCGATGCTCTATCTAAGCTGATAGAGCTGAAGCTTTGTAAACAGCTAAAAACCTGCAGTTAAAAATCTGAGCTCTTCAAAGGTGGAATAAAAGATTTTCTGCTATTTAAAATACATAAGCTTAACATGCTATTCCAAGTAAGACAGCTACTGCTGCCTCGTTTGAGCCCTGACATGCTTGTGCACAAGCATGCACATGTTCATGCTATATGTGTCATTGTCTGCATGATTAATAAATTATTTGGAGTACTGAGGATCCAGAGTGCAGTTCTGTTCACCCTTTCTTTGCTTTGAGACATTTGTTCCTGCAGCTGCACATTTTCTCAATACTTCAAGCAACAGACAGCTGCCCTCTGAATTGCAATAAAACTGCAGTTTTACGGGGATTTGACTGTGGCCTACTTGCATGTGTGTGCATCACTTGTGACATTAAAACGCTACACGGAAAGCTCAGAAAGGTCTTGTATTAAGACCAGGCCTTAGTGTTTTAGTACCTTCTTAGATGAAGTATTTTTGGGATTTTATCATTCAATTCAATCAAATGAGTTGTTGCAGATGTTAATGGCTGACAAAGGATCTCCTGTTGTGCCCTGTCCTAAAGCAGGTCTGGAGAATACTTTGACTGAAGTGACTCTTCTCTTGTCATTTGAAGAGGATACTCAGTGTTGTCAGAAGAAGCTTTTAGTAGAAGTAGGTTCTGCTTTGATAAGAAGTCCAATTTGGAAAACTTAACTATGGTGTTAAAAGAAGCAACTTTTTTTATAATCATACGTCATAGATATTACATCTCAAGTGTTTAAAGAGTTTAATGCACAGTTTCATTGATGCATTGAGTTAAAATAAGGGTCATAGGGCAAATTAAAATGTGCAATATTCTTTTGGATTCAATGCCTAGAACTTCAGAATCAATGGAAATAGAAATCATTTGAGATTAACTGGCAAAACACAAAACTCCATTAATTGGTGGGAAAAAAGGCCTAAGCAAAGTATACTGTACAGATTGCATAAATTCCTATTATTTATTTTTTTAGGTAATACCCAGCAAATATTAAACATTCAGACATCTCTCAAACATCTCTATTATTGTTCATACAAGATTTCATGTATACGAACTGATAGATAACTTTCAACTGCCAGGCATTGAAAGGTAAGACATGTTTGATGTTTTCTGATTAGAACCTGAAATAATGTGCTGAATAATTATCCAGATGACTGATCATTTTAATGTAATTATTTTAAATCAGAAATAAAGTTACAGTTATTGTGGATAAGAATATTTGGTTTTGACTGCACATATGTTGTGAGTAAATGATGAATTATTCAGTAAAGTAATTGCACTCTCTTGTGTGTCAGAGGGTACTGGAGGAATGGATTGCTGAACTGTGATGAGAACACACCATGAGGAGCACCACTTGGATTCAACATCTACAATGCCATCGGACAGCATGGAGACCAAAGGGGCTGTGTAGGAGACCATACGAGACTGATTGATTAATTAGCTTGATGAGTTATAGAGGTGCTTAAAAGAATTATGGGAACATACAGCTTTGAGTTCATTTGCTTTTAATTTCGGACCAGGACACATCTTGATTTTTGACTCATTGTGATGTATGTGTCATGATGGGTTTAAGGTTCTTAGCCCACATGCAGAACACAACGGAGGCTGGGTAAAAGTTTGACAGAGTTTATTGAACGTTTCACAAAAACACAAGATAATGTACTGGATCAGGAACTGGTCCGGGCTGGTTCACTGAAGTCTGCAGAGATGATAGTTTGATTAGAAGGCAGGCAGATGAGTTATGAGTCTTTGATAATTCAGGATTATACCTTGACTGGGTCCGGGCTTCTCTTTGAGAGAGAGAGGGAACCGTTGGGTCCAGAGACTGTTTGTTCAGCAGAGTTCAAGAGCAGCTGCAGCGTCTAGCTTCTGACTTTAAATGGCAGACCTTGATCAGAGTTTCCAGCTCTTCACTAAGAGCAGCAGGGGAATCCACATAGAAATCTTCAGGTTAGGCTCTCTAGGGCAGACTTGGCAGGTTAAGCTCATCCAGAGCTTCAGGCTAGAGACAGGTTTCCTGTGAGGCAAAAACAGAGGAGAGTTAGAATCTGATCTCTCTCAGGAGACAACTAAGATTCTTCAGGTTCAAGGCTCAGGTTGCTAACCAAACTAAGGTCAACACTGCGGCGTCGAAGCAAGGTCTGGCAGCTGATTATAAAGGAGAGGTCTCCTGATGAGTAGATGCGTCTCAGGTATGCTGGAAGACTCCAGCTCCAGGAGACCCACGGCGCTCCAGATCCCAACAGTACCCCCCTCTCAACGACCGCCTCTTGGCGGTCCAGAAGATGTCGACGGGAGGGAGCTCTCATATTCCTCGATCAGGGATGGATCGAGGATATAAGAGCCAGGAACCCATGTGCGGTCCTCCGGACCGTAGCCCTCCCAATCAACAAGGTACTGCCAACCGCGACCTCGCCGATGGGAGTCCACGATCCGGCAGACGGTGAAGGCAGGATGTCCATCGATGTCCAGGGCGGGTGGAGGGGAGTCGGATGGAGGGCACAGGGGGCTAGAAACAACTGGTTTAATCTGGGAGACATGGAACGTGGGATGGATGCGGAGACTCGGAGGAAGGTGCAGACGTACAGCAGAGGGGATGATAATCTGGGCTACCTTGTAAGGACCAATGAACCGGGGGGACAGTTTCCGAGACATGCCCTTGAGGGGAATGTCTCGCATGGACAGCCATACCTCTTGGCCTATGGAGTAGTCAGGGGCCGGGCATCTCTTGGAGTCAGCGAAGCGTTTTGTAGAGACAGAAGAGTGGTTGAGGGTGGCGATGGTGTCCTTCCAGACCCTCTGACAACGACGGATGTGCTGATGGACTGAACGGACCGAGATCTCTCTCTCGTCTGCAGGGAAAAGTGGAGGCTGATAACCGAGAGATACCTGAAACGGGGATAGACCAGTAGAAGCTGACTTGAGTGAGTTGTGGGCGTATTCGATCCAGGTCAGGT